AATCTTTTCATTGTACAAAGTCAACAGCAAGCAAAATATTGCCGAATAGAGAATGTTGTTACTGAAAGGTCAAACGTCCTTACCAAAGTGATTGACCAAATATTAAAATACCAGAGCTTAAGTGCAACAAATAGGTGCTTTATTGGGAATTGCTAACGTAACGTAATATTTTATTTAAAGTAAAATTTTTGGTAAATTGAGAGAACAATATCACAAAGCAGTCTAGCATTACAATGCTTAAATTTGGATCTTGGTGAACGTAATAGACTTGACAGTTAACCCTTTATGAATTCCAAATTGTGTAGAAAACCTGAACATAACGAAAAAAGTTTTGCACGGCTCTTTTTGTCGAAGGTTTCGCCGTGTATTGATACTAGGCTAAGAGATTACTGATTACAATTATTGTGGATTAAATTTTTAGGTTTAATATAAATTATTTACGATATTTTACTAGATAGCTAGTATGTCTTTGCTTATGTATGCGTTTATCGTGAAGTTAATAGGTTTTTGGAGATAAAATCTGTGTGATAACACCTATTTGAGTCGTTTCTAGATGGAAACCAATGTTGACATGCATGGCTTAAAATATCATAGTTATGCACAAACGTACATTATCTGGCCATTATAAAAGTCAATTGAAACATACCAGCATGGATAATTGGCTGTTACTACACGAAAAATAGGGCAGGTTTCAATGTAAGATTATCATTGGAATCAGTATTAGTATGCAAAGAAAAAGAAAAGTTTTGGCCGCAACAAATCAGAGACTACGGCAGACGTTCATATATAATTTGATATAATAGATATAATGCAAAAACGAAGCTATGAGCGATAAATACTTTTCCCGTTATTCCTTTTGCTGCCGACGATCATTCACCAGTACCTTTACATATAATGCAACCTTAATATGGGGATTTTAGAACAATTGTATATCATTATCGAGATTAAGCTTCGGGACAAGATCTTGCTTATGTAAGCAAATATTCTGTATGCATCCTCACATTATATTATCGCTTGAAAATTTTATTTATTTATTTTTTAAAGCAATATGACATGTTTCTTGAGACGGTCGTAAGAACAGCCAGCAGACGTTGCGCCAGTAGTATTTCAGTAATCAGCTGTTTGGTCTTTAGTAGGCTGTTCTGCGAAAAGGTTTATCCATTGTTCTCTGGCTGATCTTGTCCTCCCAATGACGCCACCTCATTGGACAAGAAAATATCATCTTTGCTATTGTTTGCATTTTTTTTGTGTGTGTCGTGCCAATTAATTTGTATCATTAACAGCCAACTTTCTCAAAGAAACGTTTTCGACAAGGGCTGTTGTCACCAAACGATGTAACATAATAGAGTAATGTAACATTTATGCAAGAACAATTCGCCAAAATTTGATTGGTGCTGACGACATGGCATGACATTGACAATCAGTTTTCCTCATATAAAAAAAAAAGGACAAAGCGCATGAATTATTGTTATTCGTGTTCTTCGGTTAATATAAATGATCAGCAGGCAGTAATAACAGTTCGGGGATGGTCCGATCAATAAGTTGATTGGGAGTATCTTTATTTTGTATCAACGAAAGTCTTGTAAAGGCATACTTCCTCTCCCTTTGGTTTCGAGCAGTTTTCAACATGAATTTTCATTGGATGTAGGATGTGTATGTAAATATAATGCTGATATATAAATTATATGAATAAGACTTAATATACACGTTAATATGTTGTATTGATATATTAATATCCGCGAAGGAGCTTAATTAACGAATATAAATTTATTAGATCATGTGCATACGTAGCGTTCGCGATGAATTGAATTTGAATTTTGAATTCGAAATTGAAATTCAGATTTAATTTGCTCTCTTCTCAAGCGATAAAAGAACAACTGTTTTAAGTGTCGCTCATCGATCGAAATTTTTTGTTTTTTATGGACGGTACAACCGTAGTTTAAGGAGTTTAAGAGAGTCTTCAACAGAGTTTGTTTTGTATGACTATCATCAATGTATGACAAGCATAGGTCACTCACGTCAAATCGGAGACTTTGTCGAAAGGGGTGGGTACCGCAATAACACAGTACGAACAGGGGATTCAGCCATAATGAACCAATTGGCTCCGTTGGTTTACTTATCTTTCATTACAATAATAATAAGGCTAATTGTTTGCTCCCAGGCGGGACTAGACATCCACATTTTCCCCCCGCTATCCTAAGTTAACTGTTCATTGTATGATTACATAATAAACATCAGGCCACAGTTGCAGGCGACCCCCAACGATGGTGTGCGCTATTATTGGAAAATGGGCTGGTTACTCATCGTCTGATATGTATAATCTACGTAATGGGCAAGAAACACAAAGATTGAATTGTCGTGACAATCGAGATGAACAAGTCAATCCAATCCGGTAGATGCTGATTGTTGACCAGAATATTAGCGATTGGATGTGGGGGGCGGTACAAAGGACAAACGCCTCGAGAGATCTCTTATGTCACGCAACTTGTTTAATTAACGAACAACTCACTAGTTTCAACTATAGCCTTAAAGAAAAAAAAATTTTTTTTTACACATCTTAGTATGTGTAATGTCAGATGACCGGCCGGTTTAATTGTACAATTTTTATTGTTACAGTAATTATGTAATCTGCAGAAATCAGTTAAACCCCATCAAAGGCATTCAGTTGCTAAATGCGATGGTCGAACAACACATCCCTTAAATATAATACATTGATATACAGTGTACAGATATGGTAAGTATTCAAAGTTTGGGAATCCTCGTTCTGGTCTAATTTTTAGGCATAGTGCTTTTGGACAAGCCTTAAACGTATTAATCATGCGTAGCACAAAACATTTAATACAGACATCCGATCACACATTTACATTATGTCATACACTATGTTCTGCTCTCAAGTGTGCGATCTTATTTGACAAATATGGAACACTATCTCCTGAGTAAACATTTAGCTATTTCTGACAGCTTATCGTTCCCGAATTACAGCTTTGAAGATAAAAAAAAAAAAAAAGTACACTAACAATGATTATATGGTGGTTTCACCATAACCACTGCAAATGAATATGTATGTAACATCTAATATAGACATCACTTACCAAAATACCCATGCTTTGCAGCGAAAATCCTTGTATATGAATATATATTGGGGTGGCTGTAATATAATAAAAAAACTTTTCGATGTACATACATATATATAATAATCGCCGCTGACATCAAATGCTGTTTTTAAAGTGAGGCCTTTATTTGTTGTAATGATATCAGAAGAAATCTCAAATTCGTCAACAAACGTCGCTAGTCCTAACGTCGTGGACACTATGCAGAGGATCACCGCACTTGCCAACAGGCGAAACCTGTCTACTCTGGAGGACTTTGTCCTCGTTATCTCTCAAACCATGTCTTCTACTGCTCCAGCTGTTCAATACCCATTAGGAACAGATCGAGGCATCCCAAACGACGCAAGGATACAGTATGCTATGTATTATGTCGAGCAAGGCTTGCAAAGATTCCCAGATTCCTACGACCTCAAGGTATGTTTGGGCGAATGCACAAGGTCGTGCTCGTCGAATCTTTGTAATAGATATCGATCCTCTTGATTTTTCTTTGCGCACGCACATCGCTTTCAAGACAAAGCATAGTCGACAGTTTTCAAGCCTAACACTCGGATGTCGTGTACGCGTAAATACACATAATCAACTTTGGACTTTATGCCATCCAGTTTTTCTCCCATCTCCGTCCCTCCCAACCAACCCCATCCAACCCCAACCAACCTCATCCAGCCCCCTTTTTGAAATAACTATTCTTATGGTTGACTAACGAACGATGAATTTATCATATTTTCTAGTATTTTGGTCACAAGATTGCTGTCAGACAAGGAAACATGTCAAGAGCTACCGAATTTTTTATGGCCTTGTAAGTATTATACGCATAATGCTTTTTGTATACAGCAAACCTCCCAATGTTCTCATAATGCACCATAACCCAGACGCGGACAATATAATGATCACGAGCCATTCAAAGAATATCTTGCTCAAATCGCTCATTCTGTTATTAATACATATGCTGATGAAAATTTCTGTAAGTATCAGGATCGATATGATTACGCTTATCGAGTGATTCAGTGATATCAGTCAATGAAGAGTTACGCGTACATTTACCCTGTGCGCAACATCCTATGAACCACAAAGTCTGTGTTTCCACTACATCGTACTGTCTTTATTAGACAAAAAGACAAAGATTAGAGATGAATCCATTATAGCCCTTGGTTGACCTGTTCTCTTTCCCTTATACCACAGCATTTTTCATCGAGCTACCTTCGGATATAAGGGAGGATATACTTTTGCGTAGCGCAAGTAAGGGCCCGTAATTGTGCAAATCGCTGTGATTACATGCTATCCCAACAAATTCATCCAACCATATTTTACCCTTCAACTTTGTTCTGTAAAGTATTTTATGAATCCAAAGAGAAGTTCTTAGAAGCTTGTAACTTATTTAACGTAGTTTTAAAAGTGAATCAAAATACAGAATCAGTGTTTTACCTGGGGGTAATTAAATTTAATACGGTTACCTTTATCTTTTTCTTTTCCTTTCCTTTCTTTTTTTTGCTGCCCCTTTTTTGTTCTTCCTCCCAATTCCCTATTTATCGACTTTTCATTTTCACCAAAATAAAGATACACGCGGCTGAACTTACCATTAGGTGCGAAGATCGGCAGGCTCTACCAGTTGATAATCCATATCGGATGCTGTTAGGTTAGTCAATATTGCATATTTGATTCATTGTCGTTCGAGAATTACCAATCAACTAACTAATAAAACACTGGAATTATCGCCCCATCCACACCCCCCCCATCCCTATAATTGTTCGGTTTCTTTCCTTTCCTTTCCTTTCCTTTCCTTTCTAAAGCAACACAGTTTCTTCCGTTCATACTGCGGCGAAAAATCACGGTATATGATAATGACTCTCTGTCCACAAGGATCACACCAACTACTTCGGTACCAAACGTACGAATAGCCGCAAGACATTCCAAGTCAAACAGCGCATCTATACAAACTGGCAAAACGCATGGATCAAAGAAACGGACAGATAATCGAGTACAATTCAAACAACTTATCTCGTGGCTCTATCGCACACAAAGTTATTACTTGGCATTGAGGGAATGGAGGACATTATTTGAAGTATCCCTGGAGGTGTTGAGCAAGTGTGGGTATCTGAAACTGGAAAGGTAAACAGATCATATTAACACGATTATGCATTACCCCCAAAGTTGTCTATACCCAATTGATCTCGTCCTTGGTTCCCAAAATGACAATATCCATTAAATGCCACTACTCTTGCACAGCTCAGCAGCAATCAGAGTAGTAGATCTTTTTGACCAACCACTCGACTTTGCTGAAAAACTTTTCGATCTCATCGCTCGAGGGAAATTCGCAGACAAGCGCCAGTCAACCATTGCCCTTTCTATTGGGATCGCATGCTTCATATATCATTGTTTCGAATATTACGAACGTGTTTTTGGGGAAAAGTCTAGATCCGGTGATGGTAATGCAAACGATAGACATTTATTCAAAGATTCCTATTGCGAGAGCAAAACTAATGCGTAAAATCATATTTTTATGTTTAACAGGAAATAGTACCTGTCTGATACCGGTAACTAGAAACGAGTCCAATAGATCGATACTGACTCCTAGCATGCAGTATCTTGCTTCATATAATACATCAAAACAAAAGCTAGATCCTGCGATTGCGAACACGTTTCCGAGGGTCAAAAACAACACTGTTAGACGAAACGGCTCGCATTCGGAACGAACCAAAAAAAGAAAAGTCTGTCAATCGGATAGATGTGAACGTTATGACGTTATGAAAGTTACCAATCTTCTTATATCCGAAGATGCTTCGCAACAAACTGATTGCATGTGTGATAACTCTGATGATGATAGCGCCTCAGAAGCAGAGGTCGCGAATAACCAAGAAGGTATATTATTGTCATTTTTTATGTGGTAAAGTGCTTCCGAATTATAAATTTAATGCATTACAACGGATTCACTAGTGAACGATGCCATAGTCGGCGAAGCTATACTATATTTGGAAAGAGCTGGCGATTGCTGGATAAGGCTAAAAAAAATGATTAATAATGCCAACTGTGATGTGGAACAAGGTTGGCATAATTTCATTTCCCCCAAACTAGACTTTGTAATAATACTTATGGTTTACCTTGTTATGTGAATCGATTTGGTAGAAATAACCAGACTTATTGAAATATGGAAGCTTCCTCTCGATTTATCCAACGCATTATCATTTACAAGTGGAGAAATTGCGCTAGCAGAAATGGAAATAGAAGAAGCACATACAGTGTGTTAAGAAAAAAACGGCGGTTAATAAAAGATGCATTTTTTTGTAATACATAAAGAAATACGCGTTATTAATAATAATTGTACTATACTATAAATACGATCAATTCCATATCCAGTGGACAAATTTTTCATAAGCGCAATTTTTTGTTTATAAGTACTTTCTTTTGTTTATAACTTTGTAAAGATGGTTAACGCAAAGCTCGAAACCCAAAGACAAACAATTAAACATGGCTCAACGGTACCAATTCAGCTAAAAGAAATACACGAAATAACAAACATTCCCCTTCGTACTGTTGAGTGTAATCTCAAGAAACAGGTACCGTTGAGCACAAGCGAGGAAACGGACGAAAAAACAAGGGTACACAAACCATCTCTCGCGTTACCGGACAGAATATACGCCATAATAGTGTTCTTTCGACCCGTCACCTTGCTGCATAAATAGAAAATATGCAGGATATATCAATTTCGCATGTTACTGTATAAAAAAAAAAAAGTTGGCGTATCGCCAAGGAATTTCTCGCTGAAAATTCAATCCATGTAATTGACTGGCCAATTGGAATAACGTTGAAAAGCGAATGAATTAACGAGATTTATGGTTGAGGAATGGGTGCAATTCCTCAGGAGATAGTTAATAATCTAGTCTCCATGCAAAGCAGATGCAAAGCAGATGCAAAGCTATTTTATTGCATGACGGCAATAGAATCTCATACTGAAAATTTACTATTAAATAAGCAACTAAATTTGTTCAATTTAATTTGTAGTTGTTGGGATATACAGTTTTTTGTCACCGCCGTCGCGTTGTGAGTGTGGCTGTCACGATAGTCGAAATAATTATCATCGAACAAATTATGGTCAAAATGATTACTATCGAAACGGATTACATTTGGTATTGTGTAACATTATTGGGTAGTACGTAGGCTCACTGTTGGTATTTCCATTTTCCGATGGACAATGCGGACTGATGACACTAACAATCCATGATATCTGACGGTTGGCCTCGTTGGAAAGATGGTACACTTTTAGCGTTTAATCGTAGGTGTAGACAATAAAGAACGCAAAACTTCTTGTTGGAAAGATAGTCTCTTCCAGCAAACCGTATTGCCCCGAATAATAGAAAATGGAGGGCTAGAATATCCGATATTTGCACACAGCGAGTATCCATAACAAACCGTTTAATAGTGGATTTTTAGAGTATCTGCTAATTGGGACAATTTTCATAGACCGGACATCATAGAGGAAATTAAGAGAATCCAAAGACGTCACCCAACGTGAACTTTGTATTAACGCGGTCGCCTATTACTTCGGCTGATAATGTAAAGCCAACAGCTTATTATAGAGATCTCGTCGCGTTCTGTAAGGACGGACAGCTAACCGCTGAAAAGCCTGAAGATGGAGGCTTACTCGATATTGACCCTTCAAGATGATTACAATGACGAATAGCCGGTCTTTTTGCCGAGCCGAGCCGATATGATTTCATGATCTTCTGATTATCACGCTAAAATTACGAAGACTTGCTGCGAGCGAGCGTAATATCTTTTTGTTGCTCATTCTCACCAATGTCTTGGTTTATCTATCGTGCGTGTTGTCAGAAAAGCCGTCTCAGAAAAGCAATACTTTGGGTAATAAGAACAGGATATGGCGGTGGGCTTGGGGCTTTGGTAAATTCAAAACTGTGCACGCTATCACAGAGCGGGGATGTTTATTTTTTTTCTTTTCCATGTTTCATATTTTAATCATTCACATTTCTATAAAATAGCATTGTAGTCGCAGTCATCAAGGAACAATAAATACTGCATCACTAGTTCTAATTGCAAACAACTGTCCATCCATATGGTTTTATACATGCATGAATGAATACAACGAATTCTTGATATAATAAATGGGATCGGGTTAACAAGTGAATTTATTGGTGAGATTCAAGTTTCTCTAAAACATTTCGGCAGCGAACCTCTTTGAGGGCGGGTGGGCAAGCATCGCTTTCTTGCAGAAGTCCCATAAACAATATTGGATGTTTGGATGTTGCCACCAAAATATTACTTCCCTACTTCACCCGGCTCGACTCGTAATATCTGCTAGTAGCTATCTTTTTTTCCCCCGATTATCCGGAGGCGGCTCCAAGCGTTAACGCCTACCTCAAGTGCTAAACTATTAAAATGATAATTCCTAAAACCGCAGGCTAACGCTGACCGCACAGATACAGTCTTAGAAGTTATGCCAGTGAATGAACAATAACAGTAGTGTTGTTCTTAAGACCGGCATGTTCTCTACAGTTGATGCATTTCTGCTATTGGGTAACGGGTTCTCTTTTCACATGCTATTCCCAGCGATAATATTAATAATAAGTATGCTATATAAGTAAGCAAACACGCGTTTCTACCTATTATATTCCGAGTCGAACTATAAGCACGTCGCAATCTGGCATCTTACAAAAGGTTTGCTTCTTGACTTTATTTGCCTAGCAGTAAAATAGACTTTTTATCATGTAAACGGTGGTGGTAATAAAAAAGGATTAAGTCGGCTTTCCAGAAAATTGTAGGTGATTGGCAGGAGGTAACGTAAAGCGAGAACACAACCGATTACATAACCATTAGAATATAAGTCAAGCTGTAATGTAAGAAGCCAAGTGTTTCATCGCAGGTGGTGACACTATAATAATAATAATAACAGACGTGGCGTACGTTTGCACTGTGCATTCACACTTATTTCTATTACTATAGTAATAGGCATGCCAGGGGCGCATTTGCACCAGATGGACCCTCACCATAAAATGGCATGGGCACTGACTATTCAATCATCTGTGTTTTTTATTCTCCCATACTAATACTAGTACTGATGCACCAGTTTACTCTCACACATGCTTATATGATCGAATATCTCCACTACCCCCTATTTTCCTAACCCCTTCGTCATAGTAATAACAACAATCCCTTAATATACAAATTCTTCCTTAATGTAAGATATTAATGGTACGGTTTACATCTGTCTTGGCAACACAGCCTTATCGTTATCGTTATCTAAAATGAGTACAAATTAAGGATTCGGAATATAATATTCACATTTCAAAGTATGGCGGAACAGTGCATCATGACATCATGCTGCATCATGTGCCCACGTCAAAAAATTGTCTTGGGAAGAAAGCTGGGCAACTACCGAGTTTATGACGTAGACTCATGGCATAAGTCTCTTATTGAAATATTTCCGATAGGAATTACAATATTGTTTCGAAGTTATGCACTGTTCAAACCTTATCATTACTGGGTATATTAGTTGGCTCGTTGCCAGCCAGTAATAATCTTACGCCATATTCCCATATTATTATTGTCCAAGAAGAGAAATAATAATATGAAAGGTATTTCCATTTTAACTGCCATTGAGGTCTTCGTATGTAGTACCTGCATTATTATACAAACTTAAGCTCTGAATAAACGACATTGTGACTATAATATACACTAAAGTAAAGCAAGCCCGAGTCAACGTATATCTGTAAAGCAAACAAGCACTAAACTAGTTGTTTGAAATTCCGATACTTTGTGTTAATGACGCTTGCTTTTATCATATTTATTTTTAGTTGTGGTCTTCTTAATATATGGATATGATTGCCCTCCAAAATGACCGGGGTAACACAATGTACTCCGTGAGCCAATTAAATTTGCTCGCAATATAATTGTATTGATTAACGTTCTGTTTACTGCTTAGCGAAATGATTTAACGATTTTCGCCGATTTTTTCTTCATTGGAAAGTCAAAACTTGCTACGTTGAAACCAAACAAGTTCTCGATAAGCAGGGCATGTTACAGATAATACACAAAAGTAAAGTTTTTATTTTCGTGTTTGTTGTTATCTATTATTCTACAAACCAATGACATCTCACTCTTCTAAACATGGTCTCAGTAGAAGTTACGCTAGGTCAAGTAAGACGCCCTGCAGAAGAAACGCCTCCACAATAATTTCTTGACTCAAAGTCACAATTATTATTGACGCCATTCAACTACATATCCCGTTAAGCCAAAGCCGTAGTACGAGACGTTAGTTTCAAGTTTAACAAAATATTCGGTTTACATGAATTTCTAACGGAAACCGCTATGCTTTGTTATTTTATTATTATGACAATTGATACCCACGTTGTAAAATCCCGATAAGCTCATAAGGGTCGCTAAAATTATGTAAGTAATTAATATCGTGAGAATACTGCTACAGGGTGATTGCATACGGCAGACAAATATGTATAATGATAATGTTATCTCCTGACTCGGGTCATTAGCATATGGTTGTGGACGCATAGCACACAACGTTAAGTTACGCCCCCAACTCAGCCCTATATAATAATTATAATTACTTAAATAACTTTGCACGAACCCCGTTCGTTTTTCGGCCCGAAAATTTAACAATAATGTAAACGCAATGATGGCCAATAGTCGAGAAGTTGCACTTTTTGGTATGATTACATATTTTTATTGTTTTTATTGTTGTTGTGTGGTGTACTTGTTTATTATTTATTATTTATTATTTATTATTTCTATTGCTGTCTCTGTTGTATTACTTTAACCCTCTTGTGTTAGACAGAATATCATTGGCTATGAATTATCAGCTCATTCATACAAGTTGCATGAGATGGTGAACACCAAGTTTAAGTTTATCTGCAATGTGACGTAATGAGTCGGAGCGTGCATTTAGTATTAGGAGAGATGTATTTTATTAATTTCACGTGATATTGGTAACCGTATAATGTTCATTTGTCGTACAAGTGTTATAAAGCAACGACTATGTAACAGTCAAGTACTGTCACATGTTTATAGTAGCTTTATATCATACTGCACTTCTTATGGGCGTATCGATAACGTTTATTAGTTGATGAATCACATTGCACTCTTTAACACTCTTGCGTCCATATCGTTTGTCCGACAATAAGGACACGTTAAAATTGAGATATTCATCAATCTCGTAGAACATCCACAGTACCACGGAAGTGCATTTAAGCTGAATATGGAGGGTACTTATATGCTTGAC